TTAAATATAGTTGTTTTGTGAAATACCTCTTGTTTCTCACGGTGCGCTACTCTGCTCCCCTGTTGCAGATGAGTACTGCCCGGACGACAGCGACGAGGACGTGATCACTGACTACACGATGGCGGTGCGGGGCGGCCTCGGCCTGGCCGGCGCGCTGGCTGCCGCCGCGCCCACCGCTCACCCGCAGCCAGGCCTCGCGGCGGCCCCGGGTCTCGGACACGGCCTGCCTGGCCTGCCTCCGGGCCTGCCGCCGGGCCTCCCCCACGGCCTCGTGCCCATCATCAGCGTCACCCCGCACTCGCCCGGGATCGGCATGGGCCTCCACGGCAAGCACTACCCAGTTCTAGGTGAGTGACTTTGCGTACACCTGCACCGGCCTACACTGGAAAACAGAAGAATTGCCTTGAACAATGAACATGAGAATATTTTGGATCATTTTTTTTCCGCCGTGTCATAACAGATTTGTTTGACACTCCCATTGCTCCCACTCACCAGCATATTAAAATGTGGTTGACCAATCAATTTGTGATGATGAGCCATGACGCTATTCTTATTTTTGGGACGACATTTGTTTCACAGTGTGGTGGACGGACGAGGGAAGAGACATCCCTCAATGTCCCAATCCAACTCAACTTTCAAGTGCTTGATTGTTGTTTTATCTTGCCCACAGAGGATAATCTTCAGCATCTCCACGAAATTCATGAATCAATACAACAAATGCGGGAGTTAAGTGTCCATGCCTTCAACTCACAAGTAGGTTCTGACTAGCGATATGCAGTGAAAATAAATGTCAAAACTTATTATAAGGATTGTGAAAGAGTGACCTGAATCCACCTGTTTGTAGCTGATGCGGTCCAGTCAATACTCCAGACTGAGCTCTTCGTGCCCATCACTAGCTATAGACCCTGGCTCAGATCCTGATCTTTTATCATCAGTTAACTCATCTCCCATTCAAGCTTCAAATATTGGTTTCATTAGTTCTCACATGTCAGCTGCTTTCAATGATATTTTGCATAGAAAAGGTAAAGAGTTTGTGTAATTCACTGCTTTTGTTT